TTATTGGAGGAATCAGATCCGCTGCCGGCCATATAGGGACGCAAGCGTAGCCGATGATCAAACTCGAACTATCTTGAATATCAACAAGTCTAGACTAGAGAAAAGAAATGATAAGACCATTAGTCTAGTTCACTTGACTACAATGACTGCGATGCACGCATGCTCACGTTCCTAACTGTAACAAGGTGACGCACGATGCGTGCGTTCTCTAACCTCATCCACCCCTACCATGGAAGCAGTGCGGATTCTACAATTACTTTTGGGCTTCACATGGTGCTCCGATGCTACCTTCAAATATCTCAGCATTATATCCCCTGAATGTTGTGTGAGCTTCAGGCTGAGTGTTCTTTGCCTTGATGCTGTGGAAGAGTCATCACGTACGACTCTCCTTTCAACTGCAGCGTGACTTCTTCCAAGTTCTTATCATAACGAGCTTGTGCGCATTCCTTTGGATCCACATCATAACGCTCGAAGAAGGCTTGAGCCCATGTTGGCGTCGTCTGCTCCATGCTGCAGAAACTGGCATTGGTGTAGTCGAGTTTGATGTTGTCCTCATCTTCCGCGACGTAGGTCCATCTGACGCCTCCTAGATGTGGTTTGTCAGTGAAAATGCAACTTTGAAGATCCAGGGTTGAGAGTCCCTCCGGACCCTTCGCTTGGATGTGGATAAAACAGACCAAACCTGACCATTTCACGTTCTTCGCTGTCGGGCATGCGGCCTCCCCGCCAAATGTAGATTCCTTCGGTGGGCAGATCCTCCTGTTGGGTCATAGAACGAAGATTTATGGTATTGAAAAAAAGGACTAATGTTGTCGGGTCTCGTAGGAGCCGTAGTTGGCAAGGATCATCCTTGGAAGAGGTCGAGGACTGTTGCTTGAGCAGACGTGTCTGAAGTGCCGTCACACTACGCACGCATACCTATGCCTGTAGGTCTACGCGTTGCAGAGCTACAAGTGACCAAGATCGTTGCTGATACTTCGGCGAACTTCAAGAACACAAGGCTTGTTTTCAGTCAAAGGTCGACTAGAGCAGCCAAGGATCAAGCCAGAGTGAATCCAGATCGGACTAAGTCGTAACGACACGTTAGCGACTCGTTAGCGAGTTCCAAGGTCGTGACACGCAGAAGGTGACGTGACACCTGGATCGATTATCCAATCGACACGGCTATAGGCGAGCCAACCAAGGCCTAGTTTAAGGAATGTCAAGCGACCAAGAAAGCAAGTGTTCCAAAGGTCTACACAACCTAAGGTCTACATACCTCCCCCCTTAGCTTGACGTCATTCCGAAAACTAAGGTCGAACCAATGAAAAAAAGGAAATAAGATAAATATCAAAAAAACTCAATAATGCACTAAGTATCACAGAGAACGTCTTCTCTCGTCAAAGGTCCTTTCCAAAGCACCAACAGTGATACTGTAGTCTCGAACCATACCAAGAACTGCACTAAGAGCGTCATCCGTGACTTCACCTAGGTCAGCAAATCGAGAAGCCAAGGTCTTAGTGGAAGGGCACTCCCTAGCAGCGTCAATTTGCTCCAAGGTTGTAGTAATCCACTCGTTATCGTAAACCTTGAAAGTGCTTAACGGAATACCAGACCGA